GTCCAAAGTCGTTTGGTTTGGTTTCTTGCCGACGTTGATGGACAAACAGGATGTGTGATCTAAACACATCAGTTGACAGGACGAGACATCGGTCATACTGGAGTGCACTGTTATGGAACTATCGGTGAGAACTGTACCAGGTTTGTGGAAGAAGTTCATGAACTTGAACCCAAGCTGGTCCCTGGATACTGCTTTGAATTCAGCATACGCATTTGTGGGCAGCAAGATGATGGTGGAAACACACCAAACAAAATTTGGAATTTGTTGCCTCATCATTGCTGATGATACTAGTTGGGTTGCAGTTTTCGTCAAACTAATTTTTTCTGATTTTTCTTCTTTTGGCTATACCTCACTGTAATAAACTGATCTCTGTGCGACACAACTGCCAAATTTGCTACTAACCACCAATTGAGTCAAGAAAAGAAAGAAAAACCTTTTCGTCCAATAGGTAGCTTTATTAATATTTCAACATTGATCTGCTTAAAGTTTCCCGAAATGAATGGTGAGTCAATGATAATTGAGAGAAAAAAGTCAATGGTGTTCAAGTTTAAACAAAGAACCTGCAGCTGTTAATTTTGTATTTTTACTTTTATTGAAATGATTTTCAAATCGCAAAGAAGAGTTTGGGTAACTGTTAAAGTGTTAAATTATTTTCTCTGCTGGATTCTGAAGAAAGAAAGAAATGGTTTATGTAATTTTCGGTCAACTTTTCATATTTGCCATTCCGCGGCCAATTGCATGCATGAGCTAGGACTAGTTGCTATGTTCATTGTTTACTGCTCCCAGTTTTGTTTTTCAGTGTACTATATTTTCATTAGATTTTCACGGATTATATAGTATTTTATAATTAACTTTAGAGTAACACCTTGCYGACATATAGACAAGATTCCAGTGAAACTTTGATCCAGAGAAAACTGAGCCTCAGACTACGGCTTTTCAACGCGGTGCGTTCGTTGCCACTAGTGTGATTTAAAGTAAAGGAATCTGAGAAAGGGGACAGATGATTCGGCGCTAGACGAATTTCACTATGCAAAATACCAAACAGATGAGGCCTGGGAGCGAACTCTCAAAATGTGGTTTCCAGAAATGCTGTTTTGCGTTCTGCCGATGTTTATGACCAAAAATAGGTAAACTAGCCTACTGCGTTTTAATGTGTGTCAATCACTGAAGCGACACCAAGTCATCAAATCTTGGAAAAAACAAAAATCTAAAGTAAAAGGAGACTCTGCTAGCAGAGGGTAAGACACAGCCAAATCCTGGCTCATTATATAGTGCTTGCCTTTCAGTGTTTTTTTTCGTGGGCAAGATTAAGGAACAGATTTCTGACAGACAAATGGCAGTTTCCACTCGTCACTGTCTGGCACGTTGTCAAGAGCCTTCATGGCAGTATTAACTGTTCCTATTGGTCCAGTTGGCTGGGTGACATCCCAAAGAGAGGATTTAACTGCTTCTCCGTTCGTCCACTTCCATGCACCASCAGCATCCTTGATCAAGAAAATATACTTCAGTAAGTATTTTTTTAGTCGAATTTTCACGAAGAAAAGGTGAAAGATGTACTGACATTGTGGGTGAAATTTTTTGTTCATTAAATTTTTTTTAGTAGCTTAAAAGCATCATAAAATTGCTTCTCTTATCAAAAAGAATTCAGAGGAATATATTTTAATTTTCGAGCATTTTTCATTTACACACACAATAGAATCTCTATAGAGGTTTTGCACCATCACGTGCCCACGTCCATAATACAGCTTGGRTTGCCTGTGGTTAGATGGCARAACAATAAAATCCCTTTGCTYTYGGGAATTGAGTTCTTTTTCATGTAAAACGATTGTRTTGYTTTTGCCATCTGACATGGCTGCCGTCACGTGGTGGTRGAAAACCTCTATTAAGYGACCAACYGTTATGTAATATCTAGTTGCTAAAGTCTCAAGGATTGGTTTTGCAGTACTTTATACCTCCGTTAAGAGCCCGCCTTTATCAGCCGTAGTCAGCCCCCGCCCCTTTATAGAGGTTTTATTGTAGTTTATTCTATYATTACTTAAGCGCTAAATCAATTCTAACCTGGCGAAGACCAACGATTATGTGACCCATAAAGTTCCTTCGTTGCAAAAAAATCCTGTATGAAACCGATTTTATTTATCGAGTTGAAGACTCCCAGAACTGCCCCTTCAAGTGCGCATGCGTCAGTAGCGGCACTCCAAGGTGCTGTGGTGTTAAGAAAGAACTTGTAGCAATTATTATCATTTTGGATCCAATCTTTATCTTTACAGTCATCTGAATGGAAAGATGGCAATACTGTTTCAATCATTCATATATAGCAGCTATAAAAAGTTATAATAAGTATTTTACAGCTTAGCACTGCATTGCGCTGCCTCAGTTTTGGATAATAATATGATACAATGCACAAAAACCAAAAAAATCGAGTTGGCAGTCCAGAGATCCCCAGGATACTGTCAGGTTTATAAATGACCAAACACATTAAATGTAATTTCAATACCTGTTACTCTGTAGCAGTAGACGTTGTATCTGTTTGTGGCTTTGTTTTTTAAGACAGTGCTCCCCCGTATACTGGGAGGGCCAGTTCCTGCACAACCTGTATAAGAACGCTGATTGTAGATAGGATATCTTGATGTCCCATCTATCATCCAACCATAACTATAGAACGAGGAATACAATGGTTAATATCAAATGTAGTG